GGTATTCCGAAGAAACTTCTGATCAATCTCAACTCTCAAGTGACAGCGATGACCATTATATAATTTCCAATAATGAGATTATGGTCATTCTGAATTTTTTGATATATTTATTGCAAGTTGAATAACGCGAACACTGCGAATCGTAATGAATGGAAATATTGAGTGGAAAATGTTGTTCTATTCATTACATGAGCCGAAAATATTGAACTTTTTGCATTGGAGATCATCAATAATTCCCCCAATTCTCAGAAACAAATTATGATCCTTCAGAAAATCGAACTCGACAAGTATATTTAATATATCATCTTGTCCACTCCCTAATATGTTGAATAACCCTCTGCCCGATCTCGTTTATCTATAGAAGGACGAAGGTATGGGTTTCTGACTTTGTTTTTTCTTTATAACGCTTGGTGTGCACAGAAGCGAATTACTTCAAAATGTTGAATAACTCGAATATCGAACCTATCCCCTAATCTTTTATAAGGACGCACAATGTATCACGAAAATAATTGGGATTTCGTTTCGTGCGCTCGAAAAAATTGAAAACAAAAACTGTTGAATCTTGAGGGAGCAATCGACTTCTAATATGTTATCGATGCTTTCTTGAAATAAAATGAAGACGCGTTGCAGAAATCATCTTGACTTCAGTTCCACGAGTCAATCAGTGAGGAATCATAATTTCACTTGTTCAAGTGTTCGAATCTCAGATATCTAATGAATCTGAATAATGCAATGATTTATAATTTGCGAAACTTCTGCCTCGGAGAAAACTCAGATCAATTTAGTCCTGAAGATTCCATCATTCTGCTTCGTTTTTCTTATGGGGTGATGATGACCAATCTCGTGAAATAATTATGGATTTTTCGAATTAAACATATTCAGTGATATTGTCTGTATGTTAATCGAAAAGGTGGTGAGTACATTCATTTTACTTGATTATCTCGGAATATTTCTCCTCGTTTATATAAAATAAGCGTTAGCTTGATAGAAAATAGCGATTGATGAACTCGAAGTCAATGATATAACTTGAAGAATATTCACACTAGTATTTCTTGTTGAAATAGATGATGCCTTGAAATTGTTATTTCGGAATCAATTCATAACGGTGCGTCGGTTACTAGTAAAGCTGATGTGCAAGTATCCCCAGTGAACAATCATCATTACATCTTGATCACGACCCCCGTCAAGAAATTGTTATTGTTACGCAATAATGATTTCATGATCAATTCCTCATTGTGGATGATATGGATATATGGCCATAAGAGTATTACGTGTCATAAACTATGTATTTACAGGATAGTGCCCAGATAGTCACCACACAAATTTCATCAAATTCGTGGATATGATCCATTACATCGTGAATTCTCCATTTCGTGAATATTTCGCTATATCTCGTAACTACTGTTTTATCAAAAATACCATCGGTTCCCATTCGATGCTCGGACATAAATTTGATTTAGGGCAAAGGTGAATTGGAGTTTTTCGAGGCTTGACAATGAATAATTAAGCGTCAGGACATGCCCAATATGAAAAATATTAGGTTTGTGTTAGGCCGGTAACCAACGGGTTGGAAAATAACACTCGATTCATGGTATTGAGAAGATGTATTGATAATCATAGTTCCAGTGAGTGAATGTGATCTGTCAAAGCTTACAATGGACATGGTCGGTTTCATCAACAAGAAATAAACTGTTAAAACAAAACTCATTCGATTCGAAGGTAAAATCATTATAGGAGAATGAGCATATTCTGATTGAGAAGTAAACATCGATATCACTCGTTGAATATCTATCATTTGATTTCATTTGGGGACTGTGAGAATATCTACAAACGTAGGAAGTGGATATATCGAAAAAATACGACTGTGTTTGGCATTCAGAACAATTGCATAAACTACCATCATACGGCTTACCACCTCAGCAATGTCATATTGTAACGATTTTTTTTCTGACAAATCACTGCATCAATTCCGGCGTTTCACAAGGATCGAATTTGTCACCAACATTGGTCATACTTCATTTCAATGATCCATTGGGAGCAACCACTTGCTCTATCCACAGCTTCGCAGACGACAGTACTCTCCATATTGTGTTATCTTCTTGAAATCCCATTGCTTCCCAAGAAACTAGGAACTCGAACTTGACGGTAGATCAACGCTGTCAATGAAGATCTTGCTGAAATTACAGCCTGGAAAACCAACAATCTATTCGAATTCAATGCCATCAAATCTCAAGCCTGCACAGAGAAAAACAATTCTTTGAATTTAACAAATATTGTTAAATTCAAAGAAATCCGAAGTTTGAATAGGTCCAACAAACAAGCTTGGTTGAATCAAAGTTTCCATTCCTTTGATTTTTCAAATAAGTGATTTTTTTGTATCTATATAATTTATTGGAAATGATATGATTTATAATTTGGAAGAAAGTGTATATTTGTTTGAATCAAAACTATTTCTTTGGATTTATGATCAGAATTATTCATAGTGAATAAGTATAATTTGCATCAAAGAAATGAAAGCTTGAGGGAAACAAGGAAATTATTTGGAAGAAATAAATAATTATTTGTGAAGGATGAATATATGTAAATGAAATTTGTATCAAAGAAATCAGAGCTTGACGAAAACAAGAACATTCTTTGGAAGAAACAATTGATAATTTGTGAAGAATAAATATATGTAAATGTAATTTGATTCAAAGATGTCAATGCTTGAGAAAAACAAGGAAATTGTTTGGAAGAAACAAGCTCAAATAATGGATTTCCTTACCAGAAATAAATTGTAGATTTGAACGAAATCAAAAATTAATAAACTCAAAGAAATAGAATCATCCTAAGAAGAAAGTCATTTCTTAGAAAACAATACTCCTCTTGGAAGGAATTGAGAATTAACAACAAAATTGAACTATAACAAACTTTATTGAATGATAGAAAAAATGTGACAGACACACTGTTTGGGTTCGATACTACAGAAGTCAAGATACATGATGATCCTGAAGCAGGTTGATCGCTATTTTTTGTATCCAACCTCAAATATTTGGCTCTATCATCCGGTGCATCAGCATCAATAAAAATATTTTCGGAAATCACTGGAGTATGCACATCAATGACATACGTAGCAGATTTCTCATTGCTCTCCTGAAAGTTTAGTATATTTTAATGCGGAAATACATGAATTATATGCATAACATGGAAATCAAAATTCCATAACATTGATGTGCATTTTGATGAAAATTTTTCATATGAAGAAAAGAGCTGTGATAATTCTTGTTCTAGTGATTATTTTCTCTACATAGTTACATGATATCTCAAAATACTTATACAGGGTATATCTGAATAACACCGAAAAAAGTCAAGGGGTGATTCCTGAAGATGCTATAATATAGAATCAGAACATTTAACAAAGTATTTATCATTTGTTTCATGGAAACAAATATTTTGTTTCAAGTGAAGCTGGTGACATTTGAATGAAAAAAATATTTATTTGACTGCATGGAATCTTCCATTGAAAATCATAGAAGAATTTGAACGCCATTTCACTGGAATATTTCAATATACAGCAGATTAGAAAGTATACTAATCTACGAAATATCGCACATACCTACCTACCTATTCGTACATCCTTCTATGATTTACCAAATTGCACGGTTTGTTTGTTAGATGGAGATCGGTATGGGAACATCAGGAAATCAACAAATCATAAAAAATTTCACGCCATTATTTCGATTTCCAAGTATGAATTACAATTTCTTACCTCTGAAAATGGGGACCAGATGACCCAAATGCCATTCTTCTGAAAAATCCATCACTACACATTAAGAGAAAAGTGAAAATCTGTAAATATGCTGTGGAATTAACTATACTAATGAATCACCACTGTACGATACGACCCGGCGAACCACATCAGAGATACAAAACGAATTCCATAATGTATTTTCAATAAGCATTTATTCGAGGTGAATGACACACTCGCTCTGTTCAAATGATATTTTTTAAATACAAATTTTTTGTTTGTGCATGACAACTATATCAATTGGTCATATTTATATCAAGATTAATTTTTGCCAACAATGTGATATTTCTGTTCAAAATAATATTTATTTGCTTCAAGTAACATTTATTCCTTCGAAATAAATATATTTTCAACAAATGCTATTGTTTCACCCATACAAATGTCATTCAAATGAACCGATAATTTCAAAGAAAGAATTTGATTTGGTTTTAAGAAATAACAATTGTTTTTCGCAAATAACATTTATTTCTTGCAAACAAATATAAGTCAAACAAATGAGATTGTTTCACGCAAAGAAACGTTTTTCTCTGTGTGTTTCACCTCTAAAAAGGTAGATATCAGAATACCCGATATTACACTGTCCGGTACCACTTCCACCAAGACTCCTTCATCGATGCTTGGCATTTTCATCAGCAAAACTCGTTCATGGAGAAAATATGTCCGATCCATCGCGAAAGCTGCATCACAAAATCTCGGATGTTTATCACGTACTTCAAACCTCAACAGCATCTCATCAGCTATAGAACTCAGATACGGCCAGTTTTTGTATACTGTTTCCACAAATGGGGTTCAGCACACGAACATACATTGATGATCTAAGATTCCATCCAGAGAAGAGCCATCTGCCTGGTGAGTTATGCCACATTCACTAATACTCTAACTTCATTAAAACACCGTAAAAAATTTGACGACCTTCAACTTCTCAAAAGATACTTTCATAAGGAATGTTCCTCAGAAATCTCTGCTATAACCTACGGAAGTTCAAATGGAATTACAATACCTACCCCCTCTACCTATTCTCCCTTGGTACGCACGATGTTCTCCGAATATCATTGGAAAATTTCTTTCGCTCCAAGAGATGTAAGAAATCATATCCCCATGCCATTTTCAACTTATTGTGATCATCAATGAATCATTATGGTAAAAAGGTATGAGTGAAACGATTCTGATTTGAAATATAACATATATTCCATCATCAATTCAACAATTTTCGTCAACCAAGTTCATAGTCCAAAATTGAGAAGAGCCCTATGAGCCCATCATCTAATGTACATTTCGAATATAGTGTATGACATTCCACACCATATTCTCCAGCTCTTTGAGCTTCCATATAACTGGGATCCATGTTCGAGTCTCCTGCTTCATTGCCATAGTTTGGGCTAAAAAATTCAAAAAATTAGTTTATCTCTTCGAGCTGAATCCTCGAACATTTCAAAAAACTCAGGGGATCTACTCATATTTTCTTCGATTGCTGTTTCATAAATTCGTATGTTCCCTTTGATAACATTTTGTTTGTTTTTTTCTTAATGATCAGCGATACTCCTACTGCTATTTATCATCAAGCACTGAGCTCTGGAACAATATGTACTTGAAGAATTTTCAAGGTCCCATTCATCAAAAATCATGACATATACACCTGTCAACTCATATAAGAATTCTAATTTGGATCGAGAACGCAATGAGTTCTCGAATTCATGGGGAAATAAATAGTTATATGTGTTCGTTCTAGAAAAATATAATTTCCAATCTTGAATCAGGTGGCACACAAGAACATCTCTTTCCAATGAATATATAGATGATTCCCTGAAATGTTTTGTTCACTATTCTTTCATAGCACCTATATCGGAAGAGATGGAAGGTCGGGATCGAATTATGTAAGTTGACCATATCCATAGACATGTATTTTGTGCAGTTTTTGGAATGTTGAAAGATTTCATTACCTGGGGTCAAAAATCACGATTGTTAGGCAGCTCAATTTTTTTTTCGAATCAAAGTTACCGAACGGCACAACATCTGCAGGACTTGTTGAAACTTATCAATTGAAATCAGATACTTCACTTGGTATAGTACCATACCATATTTTCAGTTGAATAGTACCTATGTTACTACGATCATATGAATAATCAGAATGATCGTATATTCAACTGATACCTAGGATACAAAGCGATTCTGACATATTGAAATATGACTACATAATATACAGTTTGGGAATATATGATGAAATGAATTCCGTTCATCCATAATATTCCTAGAAGGAGATGAGTTGAACCGTGTTTTGATTCATATTTGGATGTGTCATATATGCAAGAGAGCAATCGAAAGATTCAAGATCAATTCACCAACATTTGGGGTGATTTTCCTATACTGAATATCCCTCTACGTCTCCGTGTACGTCTCCGTATAATGAAACAGTAACAACCATCACGAATATGTTGGAGAATAATTACGATATATTTGAAATTTTCCAAATGCTCCCTTGCGAATATGGCTCAATCGAATGAAAAAACCAAAATAATGAATCGATTTATATTACCTTCCTAGAAAAGTGTGATTTCACCCCTAGTACAATAATACGAATTTTGATGGGTGGATTTGAAGAGAGGAGGATTGACAGATGGTCGAAACAATTTATATTTTGAAGAAGTGAAATCAACCTGCTCGAAGAGTTTTTCAATTATATTTTCGTTATGCAGATGCGCATTTCATTCCATTATATTGAAATTCACTTAAAATTATGAAGTCTATTTGCCGTATTCAACTCAATTGGGATTCACATCTCGAAATCATTTGTATTTTTCCTCATCGCCTCTATGTATGGAAATCCTTGAGATATTTCAATATATTTTTAGTACATACGACTCCAAAAGCTTGCCATTAAAAATTATGTCGCTTGGAGTTTTTTCTAATAGGGCACCCATCATAAAAATCAGATAGTCATCAGTGACACCTTGCTTGGTTTGATATCTGATTACTAAAAAATATTCAAATTCTTGAGAGTATTTGTTGACAAAAACAATGCTCAATTCAGATTGGGTGTTGCACAGCCTGCAGACTCTTTGCTATATCCTCACTCAACATGTTTGATCCTGGCAGCCTGATGAGAACGAAGACAGGCCATGTCTTCGAAGCGGAAACAAGTCAATGTGTATTGATGAAGTCAGAATGATTATGCCTCGCGTATATCTGTCAGTTTTTCTGCTGGTCGACTGGCTTCCAACCTATATACCGATATTCCTTTTTCAGATCTGTATTTCAACTGGATGAGAAGCAATCTGAAAGTCTTCGTTCAGGAGGATGCAAGCGAATAATTTATTTTCTCACTTTGGTCATTACTTTTCTCTCCTATGATATATGCGGAAGAGGAGTAAGAGCTCTGTCCGAAAACCCCTACATTGCATACACTTTCATCCTGAATTATTACACTGGTCGTAAACATAAGTGTATAATGGTGCAGCGTTAACAGAGTAGCAATCTTTGCAATGCGGCAGGAGATATTGTAGGAAGTGTAGTGTACGATTTTCACTGGGGATCCTGTGTTGACCTTACTTTCATAATGTCAGCCGCGCTGTCAGTCTAGTTTAGGGTGCTTGTAGGCGATTTGGTCACTGAAAGAGATCGGATCGACTTGCGAAAAGCAAGATGAAATGAAATTCATTGTTCACACATGGCCATAGTGAAATGAAACTCAATCAACACAAGGACGATGAGATGAATGAGGATTCTAATGTTGTGGATGAAAATAAAATCTAACAGCATTTTGATGTTGATGAACAAAATAAGTAGCTCAAACATAAAGATTTGAATACATAGAATCAAGTTATCAGAATGAGGAGAACGTATAGAAAAAGTATCAACTCGAGTTGTTCTGTAACATTATCAGATGATTCACAATATCTTCATCCAAACGATAGAACACTGTGGAAGGATTGTCGACGAATTCTACTGATTTTCTCTTGGTCAAGGATGAATATGCTCGAGATTTTTCTTTTCAACGATCGAATCCTCATTCGACCCGAGAATTTGAAAGTATGCTCTGTTATTTTATGTCAGAAAATCTTCTATATATGATGTTTTTGCACATGAATGTGAGACTAACAAGTTGGCAGCTAGCTCAAGTTGGAAATATTCCAAAATCAGCGTATTTTGCCAAGAATATTGTTCTCTGTCGATTCGCGTAGATAATTCATAGTAAACGCATTTTTACTCCATCTGACGTGAAGTTGACATAGCCAAGAGATTCTCAGCTCATGTCATCAATAAACTCTATCCACGATTCGTCTCACTACTCAAGTGAATTCACATCAACTAGGTTAAATGATATTTTTCACACATTTTCTATTTGTAGCAGAAAAAAAAACGAGTTGCTCTCATATACCATAGACGATAGAAGATGGAAGTACCCTGGAGCAAACACGACCTGATTCAGCTGCACCATCTCCATTCTCAGTCCCATATCTTTCAGAATACCAGCCCCCTACGCCAAAAAACCATGAGGTAACAATCAGATTGTAGATTGTAGCGATTGCGCTTATCTTGGTCATCAATTAATACAGACTTTTGATGAAACCTATGATTTTCGTATCTGTTGATCTTTTCACCTCAACAGCCATCGAGTAGACCTGTTCTGATTGAGTCAGCTATGAGTGGACTAGTAGATAACATAAATAATTATCGTTTTTGCCCGTGGATGTAGTACTATCAAGTGAGGAGCTAGAGCAGGTTCAAAACTGACCGAATTTGTGTACCTTGCAGAAAATAGCATTCTTGGTCGGTTTCGCGTTGATAATTCAAAATCTACTCATTACTCGTGACAACAAATCATACACAAATTGAAGAAGCATGAAGTTGCCAATAGAGCTCTGAAGTTCGATAATATAGGAAAAGGTGAACGTATGTTGGATCGCTCGGACGTGGGAGACGTGAGCTGGTCGTATTTGATACACTCAAGTTTATTCTTTCCACTTGTTTGATCGGTTCAATTAACAATTCACCTATATGTTTGAATGTACTGAAACGTATGAATAGATCATCGTTTTGTTCTGGTGGTGAAGAGGAGAGAAAAAACTAATACACTGGGATCATAGTCATTATAATTGCGTTGAAATAATTCTGATTGATTGAAGTATTCTTCATAGATTCTGATGGAAAGGAATAATGAATATTCGAATCATTCATGGTATGATGGAAAAGTAAAGAAATCGAACTACGCTTATGTGCATAAATTTCATTGCATGAAGCAACTGATCGCCTAGCAAACAGAGGTGCATAGTCTACATTCTTTTGTCTTGACACTTTATAAGGAACAAGCTTATGTCACCAAATCGCAGAGCTCAGTAAATGGAAGGCAAGCAAAGAAGCCTCCTACTAGTGAGTAGTTCCTGGTGAACGTGAACAGAAAAGTTCATCAACAATTACTGAGTTTCAGAAAACCAGAGCTGAAGCACCGCCTTCTGAGGTATTTTTCCAAAATAATATGCATAGCGGAGACTCAAGCTTTCCGCATTCATCATATCTAGTCCGCTGAATGCTGAATCACCTGAAACCGGTCTACCTGACTTACGACTGCTGGAAAATTCAACCATCGAGAAAATCTCAAGTGTCATCCAGGCGTCTAGGATCATAAAAGCCATTTGAGATGATGATTATTCCGATCAGTTAACACATACACATTGATAATACGTTGGATAACGGTGAGAGTCGTAAAAATAACGTTGATGGTAAAAAACTCAGCGTTGAAATTTGGTTGTGGGAAACGAGAAAGTAACACGTTATTGATACGTTTTATTTTTCAACATTTCATTACATTGTGTTAATCTACAACCACTATTGAACATTGGAGCAGAACGTTGATACTTTCAAGCATTTATTTTTCATTCCAACGTTCAAAATCCACAAATTCGATAGTATCATCATCGTACATTGTGGATTAGGAATTGATGTGACACTCGTTTTACAAGCGATATTTGCGTTTGCAAGGCGAAGCGACCGCGAATCCGAGCGCGCAAATTTTGCGCGTCTAACAGAGTCACTTTTGTTTCGAATGAAACGTGCTTTATTCCTGCAATCCACATAATTGAGATTCAATTGATGAAATACAAGAGAATGTTACCACTATCCTGACTAAGTTGAGCATGCCAGTGTTGAAGCAGCTATCACATCTGCTGTCATCTAACACGTTCCTATTTCCTAGGAGTTGAAATCCACTTTTTGCTCTTTAGCTCTTGAGCTATTCACCTCCTAGACCCCAGAAGTGTTGCCTAGCAACATACATAGTAGTCATTTCATTCTGTCAGGGAAAAAAACGTCAAGTTCAAGAGCTATTCTTGGAAAGAAAATGGACGAATCTGAGCAGATGGCAGAGGAAAGTTTACTATTGAGTTGAAAGAAATTCATTGGAGTTGTTGAAATAAGGTTTGTGTACTGGTTGAATACAATATGTATATCAGCGACATTTTTGCGTTATTTCGACCAATCGATGTGATAATTTCACTACGTCGTTTCGACTTGAGTGTATTAACTGAGATACAATTAACAATATGATCGTCACTTCATCAGAGACTTTGATTCTGGAGGTGGTGATGGTGCAGGTGGAGAGACTCGTTCTCTCCAAGGTATGTGAAGAACTTGTTCTCTTTTATAGTCACGGATCACAAGAGGCAGGTGAGGAAGACATCATTCTACCTAGTTCATGTAAATATACTCAAGCACTGTGACAAATCTTGAATCAACTTATACGCTGACGGAAGCAATAGACTTCTACCTAAAATGTATAGTTTCTGAGTAATGGACAAACAACTGAAAAAAATGTGATTTCTCGAATCGTTCCACGAAATCTTGATTGCATCTGATCCAGATTCAGCATGCCCAAAAACATAAGAAACTGCGCAAAAATGGACTACTTGAACTTTTTCCACGTGCAAATAGTTTTTATTCAACAATAATGATGGCGCATCAGATGATGCAGTTGGAACGATAAATAATCATACTAAAGATGAAACAAGAAAATATGAATCGTAGTTTGTTTCCATCTTGTTGAGGAATGTTATGGCAACAAGAGAATCACTGAGTTAACAATGAGAATCATCTCATCGTACAACTACTGACAATAGATATTTGTATGCTTAGGCCACCAAGTAACTTTTTGGCGTGCCGAAAAAAAAAATGTATCGCCGAGGCCGTTCGCGGTCAATGCATAATGATCTTGAGATCGCCGAAAAATTCAACGGATATGGAATACCACTATTTTTCGAACAATCGTCAAAACTATACAACTGAATAACTGAAATGACATTTCGCCTGGTTGAAAAAATAAGCTTTTGATTTCCCAAGTATGTTGCGCACGAGTTGCAGAAATAATTGTTTCCACAAACATCGAAAAATAATGTTTCAAAGTTGAAATATGCTTAGCTCAATATAAGAAATAGAGTTTAACTAGCTCAATATCCCTCAGGTATTGTTGAACGTCTATAAATGAATGATTTCTTAGACGTTTACTCGATTGATGACCATGAAGGTTATAATACGAAAATATCAGATAGTTTTCATGCAATGCGCAAAGTATTCACTCCACGCACTGTTCTACTTCGCGCACTACTCCATGCATTGTGAAGTGGTAACGTGAGAAAATGAAGAAAAAGTCAGTTCGCATATCGTTAACAACGCGTGAACCTTGAAGTTACAAAAAAAGTATCTGTTCCAGAAAACTTAAGTATTTAGAGTTCGGATAGAAATAATTTCTTAGGGTTGAAACTCCAATCTCTCTAATTTCTTCATGGGAAAAAATAATCGAAATGACCAAAGTATTCCGCGCTCGAGTTGCAAACTAAATTTTTTCTACAGACGTGAAAAAATTCTGTTTTAAAGTGAAAAAATGCTTTGCTCGATATTGAAATAGTGTTGAACTGGCTTGAAAGGCCTTCCCCTATCCTCCCTTGGTACGCACGATGTGCCACGAACATAATAGGAATTTCCTTACGTGCGATCTAAAAGATGAAGCAAAGTTATTGTTGAACATTCAGAAATAGATGATCACGTGAATATTTCCTCTATTGAAGACCATAAAGTTGATATATTATCAATATCTTATATAATATGTTGAATAACAATACGCGAAGTAGGTACTTCGCGCACTGTTTTACTTCGCACATTGTTTTGTGCATGATAACATGGTTACGTAAAAAACTGAAGAAATGGTTCTCTCCGCAATTTGTTATCAATACACGAACCTTGTCATTTTTTGACGTATGTAGAAAATAGTTATTTGCCTAACAGGTGCGCAAAGTGTTACTCTGAAAACCTGGAATTATAATTCATTGAATCATTTTCAGTTACACTTTATAGAAATAGCTAAACAACAAACAATTACATAGGTACCTATGAATAAAATATAATGATAAAAAATCGAATCATTTGTTCCTAATATTTATATTGAGGTGAAATACAAATTTCGGGAAGAACGAATGGAAAGTAAAAGGAATAACGCCTTCTTATAGTGCATACAATAGTCTACAGCAACTGAAATGAATATAAATGTTCCATATCAGTGAGATTTTTGGGTAGTTTTACTTATTTGCACGCCATGCGAATAACACCCATATCCGCACTGATTGTGGAAGAGTATTACTTTGCGCACGCAAATGAATGCGGAAAAGTGCTTCATTGCGCACGCTCAATGGAAAAAGATATTTTCGTATGTCCCTATCAACACTTATGACTGCGATAGATGGTTGATGGATACTCACGTGAAAACAATGTGGAATATAAGGCCATATAGACCATTCGCTTCATGATGCAAGCTCTCAGCAGCATTCTCGCAGATGCTTCGTAAAATGCAGTCTCTACCATCTATTCCTGCACTGAATGATAATTCAATTAGTGATCACTCTTCAAGAATAATGCAAATTGAATCAAAAGTTCATCAGGAAATATTGATTTCCCTACCCATTCAGTACGTCTTCAAATGCTTTATAGAACAATGATCTGTCCGTTTCTTCTGTTGTCCGTTTTTCTCGGAATTTCCTGTCATAAAATGGTGGATATTGTTGCAACATTGTGATATTAGTTGGTACGTCATATTGCATCTGAAAATTCCACCCGATTGACATCGATTGCTTGATTCCCAGCTTGAGTGGAATACCAATACCAAGAACAACCTGTCGAAAAAAAATGTATCGAGTTCAGAAATAAGTCATTTCTTGTAATGATTGTATCTCGTGGCGATATTGTCACGATAATATGTGTTTTCCAAACGTCAAAGCTTTGAAGTAGGACTTGCACTATGTTATATATGTGGATGATATTTCATCCATATCGATTCATAAGGGGTATGCTTGGCTAAGGGTTTGCGAGAGGCTGTATTTGAAAAGGCATTATCAGTTCAGGTGTAGCTGCGAGTGAAAGACTATATATGAACAAAAAAATATCAATCATAGCATGCAAAATCATAGGAAGTGATGTGTTATGACCAAATTGACAAGTTCCTGTCAGGTCGAGAGTAGTCATAGACCAGACACTTCGAAACACTCACATCTGATATCTATACATATACAACAGGTTATTATAGTATTACACGTTTCTCATGGAAGTTTTTTGATCGGTAATGATAGTTCAATGTCGACAGATCATTATATTAACTTCATCTAGTTATGAACTAATATACCGAGTGTTCCACTAGTGACATGACTCTCTTCTTCTGGAGAGCTGGATCACAGCTCTCGAATCATTACATGTGATTTAAATCATCATGGAGCTCATCAAAAATTCAGGAACAGGAGTTAAAAAAAAAACTCTCCTTCGGCGCCTCCACCAATTCACTATAATAGCTGCTTCCTCCATTTCAGCCATGATGTATTTTAATCGTTCTTGAGAGGTGAAGAGATATTTACAATGAAAAATCAAGTAATCTGGTCACGCATAAAATGCTATAGGTATTACGGACCTACCTTGCTTTTGTTCATTAATGACAATATCACGCCATCAATACATGAATTTCAAATTCTACCGAGGTGCATATTGAATGTTTTCCAACACAAGCAAACTGATTCCATCACTATGTAGTTGTGTGGAACTGAATTATGGACCTTATATCTGTATGAAAGCACTTCTCAATTCTCATCGAAATCTAGTAGTCATGATCATAACAGCATATGAGAAATCGTTATTGATGAATATATACTTGAATCGAATGTCATATCTGCAGATTTCACATCAGAACAGTGAATTCAGGATAAAGGTGGCTATGTCTTCATCAACTAATGGTTTATAGATAGCACATACTTCACGCCTTCGAAAGGAGTGACAAATACTCGGTTCTATAGCTTATGGTGAAAGATAAGTTTTATGTTATCGTGTTCCCATTCCATCTGGGTAAATATCATAATAATCTCCTTGACTCGGCTGTCACATGATAGAAATCAATGTTGGATGTTGACAAAATCCAACACAATCAGGTTCACACAGAATCTTTGATTGTTCCGTGACGTTCAAGATTCATACAATGAATCGACCTAACACTGATTAGCGGACTCAAAGATTCCTGCTTGAAACTAGAGATGTTCGATAAAAAAAAATTAATCAAAATAATGGTAGATAGTTGAGATCTGATAGATCGTTAAGTTGAATGTGAAAGATTTTGTGTAACTTCATTCACAATGATTTCAAATAATCTATTCTCCATTCTTTATTTTCAACATGTCAAATATCGAAATTGACATCAGAATTATGATAGTAAGCGTATGTTGAATTGGTTTTTTTGTGATGGCGTTTATTTGTGGGACTCTCACTTTAGCACTTCCTGGACAGAGTTTTGCGACTTGATCGAATTCCGCGGGAGCCATATTTTTGATGAAGTGTATGACTACACTTGCTCCTGCGAACTAGGTTTTTCAGGAGACCTAGGCTGCAGCAGAGAAAAAGATACAGAAGGTGTATACTGTGAACCAGGGGTCAATGTCATTGATTCGACTTGGAATGAATGGGCTAAGAGAGTGCAGGCGTTGATTAAATCTCCTAGGAGAATCCTGGAATACGAGTTGCTATGGATAGATGCATGAATTATTGTACCATATATCACTGGTAGTTCCTTGAATTGAAAAGAACTCTCTACCTCGTTATCAGGACTGAAGAATCAGAAGCACATAGACTGATAAAGTACATTGAGTTTATTGAATGAAACAGGAGAAATCAATGAAATTCATTATATGAAAAACTTTTTAGGAGTGAATTGTAGTTTGATATTAAAAACATGTAACTGACAGGTACGCCGTCTGACGTATCTCTGACAATTATGAAAAAGGGGTTGTCTCACTGAGCATTTGCAAACTCCTTGAATCATTGAATCACGAGTAGCGGTAGCAATGATCAAGCGACAGGCCATCAAGTAACTAGGAAAGCAGAAAGTTATGTGCTATCGAAAGTCCTGCAGGTGAAGTCGAGCAGTCCAACAAGCAACTAAATACTGAATTCGGAAATCGTTGAAGAGTGCAGGTTTCAGTACGCAAAACGAATCCTGTTGGATTTTGTGCAATCGAGAGAGGCAATTAATTAGCTCTCTTTTAGTTAGGCCTATTTCGCTGCTCAAGTACCACCAAGATATGAAGCAAAAGGGGTGCTGAAGGTCTGAAACAGATCAAGTGAGCCCGTCCTCTCGGAATGTGACTAGACAAAAGTCCACTACGTATATCTCATCCGTTGAGTGTAACCGAATTTCACTGAACCTATATAAATAATTCTAGAACAGGATCGTTAGATCGAACGACAGAAGCTCAGCATGAAGTCAATACCGGTACTGGATTTTTCCTGGCAATCTATACTCGAAGGCCACGACTGTCAATTATCAACTTCTACGTGTTCAGAAATCTAAGTCAAAATTGTCAATGCAACTAGATTATTTTATAGTTGTTAAGATAGTTTGAATGACCAGGAAAAATCGATACATTCCATCGGATTGATCAGGAAAAGAGCACGCAAATTCCAAGTGGGTTCATATTCCTATTCCACTGTGATTTACGAATTCAAATCAAAATTCGATTACTGCGAATGACGGATCAATTGGAGACTGAAAATGCAGATCAATGTACACAAGATGACTATGACTCGGACTATGATATGAAGACAAAAGCAAGCGTATGAGGCTGACGGCCCACGGTTCGAGGATTCATAGACGTGTGAGTTTTTCGATCGCTGAATCAAGAATATCATAACTCTCCTGTTCCTGATCAGCTTCATTTTCAGCCATGTAGAGCAGCAACCATTGCAATGGGCTTATATCACAAAAAAAAATTATTTCATAATTCGATAGACCTCATCCAAACTATCTCACCACCGCAAACCGTTTCTTGCTGTGAGCTTCCTACGATTTATGAAAAATTATTGAAATCCCCGATTTTTTGGACCTCTGAAAACGAGGCGATGATGTGACGTCAAATCCCTAATACTGAAACAAGAGATAGAGATGAATGATACATGATTTCTGACAGAGCGAATTAGCGCGAGATCACAGTTGAAATAATTAATATATCAGTTGCCTCAGTCTCCGTTGGGCGTTTGGTATTTCGTTTTTAACTATAACGAGATGAGGTTTCTACGTCATGAGAGGGTCCGTTTTCAGAAGGTACTATTATTTATGTCCAAAAATGAAACATTCCTGTTAAATTTTTGATCGAATTATGTCGTCAATCGTTATTTATGTATAAAAGGATCATTATAAACATGGTTTGAGTCAAAATTTCTACTAAGGTGTACACGCTCATTACTGCAGGGCGTAGTTGTGTGAAAAATAAACATAAATAACAGGTGAAAATTCATGATCACATGGTGGTGTGACTATCCTGAGATACATTTATTTCAGTGAATGAGAATGGAATTCCTAAGTCAATCAGGGTTGCCTCATAAGAGATTCCTAATCTCTAGAATCAGATAGCAGTTTAACAGGAGGTTAGTACTTGGTCATGAGTAAAATAGGTCCACCTTGTATCGTGTCACTGCATTTACTGAAATGTTCGCCTGGAATTGAGATGCATGCGATAGGACAGGCTTCCTAAGCACCGAGCTGCGCCTAAGTGGTTCAGGAACGTGTGACTATCTGCAGACCGGTTTCGAGCTGTTGGCGCTCATAAGTGCAGATCTGTCTCAGATAGCTTTTTGACCTTCATCTGGTGCGAACCTGACCCAACGTGAACGCATCTCAGCATTTGTACCCCACGAGGCGTTCAACGTCTGCGAAATGAACGCGAACGCCGAACATCTTCTGGCAAGTAGTGGAACACTCCAAAACAAGATTCCATATTGAGTGAAATGGAAGTGACTGGCTGCCCAACTAGTTTATTTTCAAGTAGGAAAGTGTTAAATACACAAAGTGGAATGCATTAGTCAGAAAGATAGGAAAACTCAGATTCATTACCACAATACCTCATGAAGAGAATGAAAATGGTGGATAATGAGAAATGAACAACAATTTTCCTGGCTTCATGTCATTCAATAATTTGTATAGACGAATAAATTCGCAAATGTTCCCTTCCTAGACGCCGATATGCGCCTTAGTGGTTCAAGAACGCGTGACTACCGGCAGATTAGTTATGAGCTGTTGTCTCTCAACAGTGCAGGGCTGTCTCAGGTATATTCTTGACCGCTATACTGACCCATCGTAAACGCATCTCAACATTTTTACCACACAATGTGTTAAACGTATGCGAAATGAACGCGAACGCCGAACGCTACCTGATGAAAAAAGAAACACTACAAAACAAGATCCCATTTCATAAGAAAGTCACTTCCATTTAACTTTCAATAGGATCTTGTTTTGGAGTGTTTCTCATCTTGCCAGGTGGTGTTCGGCGTCACGCGCTCCTGAACC